ATATATATATATATATATATATATATATATATATATATATATATATCCCGCAAGACATATCTTTATAGTGATCGTGATATGATGAACTAGTTTTAGATTAATGAGTTGTTCGTATGGTAGAGAATGAGAATGAGTGAGAGACAGCGAGTGAGAGACAGCGAGTGAGAGACAGCGAGTGAGAGACAGGGAGTGAGAGACAGGGAGTGAGAGACAGGGAGTGAGAGACAGGGAGGGAGAGACAGCGAGTGAGAGACAGGGAGGGAGAGACAGGGAGTGAGAGACAGGGAGTGAGAGACAGGGAGGGAGAGACAGCGAGTGAGAGACAGGGCGGGAGAGACAGGGAGGGAGAGACAGGGAGGGAGAGACAGGGCGGGAGAGACAGGGAGGGAGAGACAGGGCGGGAGAGACAGGGCGGGAGAGACAGGGAGTGAGAGACAGGGAGTGAGAGACAGGGCGTGAGAGACAGGGAGTGAGAGACAGCGAGGGAGAGACAGGGAGTGAGAGACAGGGCGGGAGAGACAGGGAGTGAGAGACAGGGCGGGAGAGACAGGGAGTGAGAGACAGGGAGTGAGAGACAGGGCGTGAGAGACAGGGAGTGAGAGACAGCGAGGGAGAGACAGGGAGTGAGAGACAGGGCGGGAGAGACAGGGAGTGAGAGACAGGGAGTGAGAGACAGCGAGGGAGAGACAGGGAGTGAGAGACAGCGAGGGAGAGACAGGGAGTGAGAGACAGGGAGGGAGAGACAGGGAGTGAGAGACAGGGAGTGAGAGACAGGGAGTGAGAGACAGGGAGGGAGAGACAGGGAGTGAGAGACAGGGAGGGAGAGACAGGAGTGAGAGACAGGGAGTGAGAGACAGGGAGGGAGAGACAGGGAGTGAGAGACAGGGAGGGAGAGACAGGGCGGGAGAGACAGGGAGGAAGAGACAGGGCGTGAGAGACAGGGAGTGAGAGACAGGGAGTGAGAGACAGGGCGGGAGAGACAGGGCGGGAGAGACAGGGAGGGAGAGACAGGGCGGGAGAGACAGGGCGTGAGAGACAGGGAGTGAGAGACAGGGAGGGAGAGACAGCGAGGGAGAGACAGGGCGTGAGAGACAGGGCGGGAGAGACAGGGCGGGAGAGACAGGGCGGGAGAGACAGGGCGGGAGAGACAGGGCGGGAGAGACAGGGAGGGAGAGACAGGGCGTGAGAGACAGGGAGTGAGAGACAGGGAGGGAGAGACAGCGAGGGAGAGACAGGGAGTGAGAGACAGGGCGGGAGAGACAGGGCGGGAGAGACAGGGAGTGAGAGACAGGGAGTGAGAGACAGGGAGTGAGAGACAGCGAGGGAGAGACAGGGAGTGAGAGACAGGGCGGGAGAGACAGGGAGTGAGAGACAGGGAGTGAGAGACAGGGAGTGAGAGACAGGGAGTGAGAGACAGGGAGTGAGAGACAGGGAGGGAGAGACAGGGAGTGAGAGACAGGGAGTGAGAGACAGGGAGTGAGAGACAGGGAGTGAGAGACAGGGAGGGAGAGACAGGGAGGGAGAGACAGGGAGTGAGAGACAGGGAGTGAGAGACAGGGCGGGAGAGACAGGGAGTGAGAGACAGGGAGGGAGAGACAGGGAGTGAGAGACAGCGAGTGAGAGACAGGGAGGGAGAGACAGGGAGTGAGAGACAGCGAGTGAGAGATAATGAGAGATAGCGAGTAAGAAAGAGTGAGAGCAAGCGAGTGTATCTCTTCAATCACACAACAGAACACAATTTAAGACATTTTAGCCAATATGTAGACAATGTTTTTTTCCTCTGAGCCAAGACAAACAGACTTAGACAACTTTGGCGGTGCTGGGAGCCCCGCTGAGTATAAAACTCTGCGGCAACTTGGTACCCAAATTAAACACAACTCTTCCTGCTCCCAGAAAAGGTAATTACAGACCTCAAAACCTTATTTTAATCCATTTTTTTCTACATCATCCGCGAATTATGCAAATTAGTAAAAAATTTGAAAATATTTAAAATACAACATAGTACATATTATATTGAATACATTATAATATATAATGATACATTGTGCATAAAATATAATACAGTATATGCATAAACGTGATCGTTTCTTCATTTTCTGGTGTCTGGTTGGGTCATTATATCCTCGGCCATGTTATTGTGATCCATCGTCTACATAATACATGTATATAAGAAGGTCAATATGGAGGATGGAGGCTAGGCGCTCCAGACATTGCAGGGTGACTGGTGGATGGTGGGGGATGGTCATAGTCTCAAACATTGCAGAGTGACTGGTGGGTGGTGGGGGACGGTCATAGTCTCCTCCAGACATTGTAGGGTGACTGGTGGATGGTGGGGGACGGTCATAGTCTCCTCCAGATATTGTAGGGTGACTGGTGGATGGTGGGGGACGGTCATAGTCTCCTCCAGACATTGTAGGGTGACTGGTGGATGGTGGGGGACGGTCATAGTCTCCTCCAGACATTGTAGGGTGACTGGTGGATGGTGGGGGGTGGTCATAGTCTCCTCCAGACATTGTAGGGTGACTGGTGGATGGTGGGGGAAGGTCATAGTCTCCTCCAGACATTGTAGGGTGACTGGTGGATGGTTGGGGACGGTCATAGTCTCCTCCAGACATTGTAGGGTGACTGGTGGATGGTGGGGGACGGTCATAGTCTCCTCCAGACATTGTAGGGTGACTGGTGGATGGTGGGGGGTGGTCATAGTCTCCTCCAGACATTGTAGGGTGACTGGTGGATGGTGGGGGGTGGTCATAGTCTCCTCCAGACATTGTAGGGTGACTGATGGATGGTGGGGGAAGGTCATAGTCTCCTCCAAACATTGTAGGGTGACTGGTGGATGGTGGGGGGTGGTCATAGTCTCCTCCAGACATTGTAGGGTGACTGGTGGATGGTGGGGGAAGGTCATAGTCTCCTCCAAACATTGCAGGGTGACTGGTGGATGGTGGGGGATGGTCATAGTCTCCTCCAAACATTGCAGGGTGACTGGTGGATGGTGGGGGACGGTCATAGCCTCCAAACATTGCAGGATGACTAGTGGTTGGTGGTTCAACCCCCGCAAGCACAACTAGGTGAGTACAAATAGGTGCGTACACACACGCGCGCGCTTGTTGTGGTCGCGCGCGCCACACAACACCCGCCAACCATCGTTAAGGTGAAGACAGAGAGTTGAGACAATGAGAGTCGTTACCGCCTTCCCGCATGGTTACCCGCGCGAACTATGCTAATTAGCCGCACATGATTGACGGTCACATCCCTATAATTTCCTTCAGCACCAATAACTTCGCTCAAGTTCGAATGATTTCGTATAACGTTCCGTAATTCCCGTGTTTCAGTAGCCTCGCGCGGTTGGCATTCGGTACTGAGATTTGATAACTATGTCCTTGATGATCAAGCCTTTAACCACTTGGGCTGGACGGTAGAGCGACGGTCTCGCTTCGTGCAGGTCGGGGTTCAATCCCCGACCGTCCAACCCCCCTCAGATTTACGAATTCTTATTGTCAAGACTAGTTACCCTGATGTTATTGTTATGATTCCACTCCCATGTTACCTGGGAGGGTGTCCTCTCCCACGTTACCTGGGAGGGTGTCCTCTCCCATGTTACCTGGGAGGGTGTCCTCTCCCATGTTACCTGGGAGGGGTGTCCTCTCCCATGTTACCTGGGAGGGTGTCCTCTCCCATGTTACCTGGGAGGGGTGTCCTCTCCCATGTTACCTGGGAGGGGTGTCCTCTCCCATGTTACCTGGGAGGGGTGTCCTCTCCCATGTTACCTGGGAGGGTGTCCTCTCCCATGTTACCTGGGAGGGTGTCCTCTCCCATGTTACCTGGGAGGGTGTCCTCTTCCATGTTACCTGGGAGGGGTGTCCTCTCCCATGTTACCTGGGAGGGTGTCCTCTCCCATGTTACCTGGGAGGGTGTCCTCTCCCATGTTACCTGGGAGGGTGTCCTCTCCCATGTTACCTGGGAGGGGTGTCCTCTCCCATGTTACCTGGGAGGGGTGTCCTCTCCCATGTTACCTGGGAGGGTGTCCTCTCCCATGTTACCTGGGAGGGGTGTCCTCTCCCATGTTACCTGGGAGGGTGTCCTCTCCCATGTTACATGGGAGGGTGTCCTCTCCCATGTTACCTGGGAGGGGTGTCCTCTCCCATGTTACTTGGGAGGGGTGTCCTCTCCCATGTTACTTGGGAGGGGTGTCCTCTCCCATGTTACTTGGGAGGGTGTCCTCTCCCATGTTACTTGGGAGGGTGTCCTCTCCCATGTTACTTGGGAGGGTGTCCTCTCCCATGTTACTTGGGAGGGTGTCCTCTCCCATGTTACTTGGGAGGGTGTCCTCTCCCATGTTACCTGGGAGGGTGTCCTCTCCCATGTTACCTGGGAGGGGTGTCCTCTCCCATGTTACTTAGGAGGGTGTCCTCTCCCACGTTACCTGGGAGGGGTGTCCTCTCCCATGTTACCTGGGAGGGGTGTCCTCTCCCACGTTACCTGGGAGGGGTGTCCTCTCCCACGTTACCTGGGAGGGGTGTCCTCTCCCATGTTACCTGGGAGGGTGTCCTCTCCCATGTTACCTGGGAGGGGTGTCCTCTCCCATGTTACCTGGGAGGGTGTCCTCTCCCATGTTACCTGGGAGGGGTGTCCTCTCCCACGTTACCTGGGATGCTGAGATCACAGCCTCGTTACCTTGCACCGTGTTAAATTACATTCTGTTGGCCATTTGGTGTAAGAGTTGTGCGTGCATGCATGTGTGTGCTTGCGTGCGTGTGTGCGTGCGCACGCTCCCTCTGACCTCGAATACCTCCCAAAAGCGAGCCCAAAAGATCCCAAAAGGTTTCATAAACCTTCCAAATGCTATTCATTTCCACAGTGAAGCATCACTACCGGGGGGGGGGAGAGGGGAGAATCATCCCCCCCCCAGTCTCCCCCTTCTTCCTCCCCCCCCCCTTTATCGACCCCCCTCCCCCCCCCCCTCTCGAGCATCCGCCTTTCAAGAGCCCCCCCCCAGGCAGTTAGCCTGACGGGTCGTTGGAGGCATAAGGAGAAGGTCTTAACAATGACTCCTGCCTTGACAACTTCACAATCGGGTCCAAAGCTGTGAATAACAGGGACCGCCCGGCCACCCTGGCACCCTCCCGGTGAGTGTCTGGGGCTCTGGCACCCTCCCGGTGAGTGTCTGGGTCTCTGGCACCCTCAGGGTGAGTGTCTGGGTCTCTGGCACCCTCCCGGTGAGTGTCTGGGACCCTGGCACCCTCCCGGTGAGTGTCTGGGTCTCTGGCACCCTCACGGTGAGTGTCTGGGTCTCTGGCACCCTCCCGGTGAGTGTCTGGGTCTCTGGCACCCTCACGGTGAGTGTCTGGGTCTCTGGCACCCTCACGGTGAGTGTCTGGGTCTCTGGCACCCTCCCGGTGAGTGTCTGGGACCCTGGAACCCTCCCGGTGAGTGTCTGGGTCTCTGGCACCCTCACGGTGAGTGTCTGGGTCTCTGGCACCCTCCCGGTGAGTGTCTGGGTCTCTGGCACCCTCCCGGTGAGTGTCTGGGTCTCTGGCACCCTCCCGGTGAGTGTCTGGGTCTCTGGCACCCTCACGGTGAGTGTCTGGGTCTCTGGCACCCTCACAGTGAGTGTCTGGGACCCTGGCACCCTCCCGGTGAGTGTCTGGGTCTCTGGCACCCTCCCGGTGAGTGTCTGGGTCTCTGGCACCCTCCCGGTGAGTGTCTGGGACCCTGGCACCCTCCCGGTGAGTGTCTGGGTCTCTGGCACCCTCACGGTGAGTGTCTGGGTCTCTGGCACCCTCCCGGTGAGTGTCTGGGTCTCTGGCACCCTCACGGTGAGTGTCTGGGTCTCTGGCACCCTCCCGGTGAGTGTCTGGGTCTCTGGCACCCTCCCGGTGAGTGTCTGGGTCTCTGGCACCCTCCCGGTGAGTGTCTGGGTCTCTGGCACCCTCCCGGTGAGTGTCTGGGTCTCTGGCACCCTCCCGGTGAGTGTCTGGGACTCTGGCACCCTCCCGGTGAGTGTCTGGGACTCTGGCACCCTCCCGGTGAGTGTTTGGGACCCTGGAACCCTCCCGGTGAGTGTCTGGGTCTCTGGCACCCTCACGGTGAGTGTCTGGGTCTCTGGCACCCTCCCGGTGAGTGTCTGGGTCTCTGGCACCCTCCCGGTGAGTGTCTGGGACCCTGGCACCCTCCCGGTGAGTGTCTGGGTCTCTGGCACCCTCCCGGTGAGTGTCTGGGTCTCTGGCACCCTCCCGGTGAGTGTCTGGGACCCCTGGCACCCTCCCGGTGAGTGTCTGGGTCTCTGGCACCCTCCCGGTGAGTGTCTGGGTCTCTGGCACCCTCCCGGTGAGTGTCTGGGTCTCTGGCACCCTCCCGGTGAGTGTCTGGGACCCTGGCACCCTCCCGGTGAGTGTCTGGGACCCTGGCACCCTCCCGGTGAGTGTCTGGGACCCTGGAACCCTCCCGGTGATTGTCTGGGACCCTGGCACCCTCCCGGTGAGTGTCTGGGTCTCTGGCACCCTCCCGGTGAGTGTCTGGGTCTCTGGCACCCTCACAGTGAGTGTCTGGGACCCCTGGCACCCTCCCGGTGAGTGTCTGGGACCCCTGGCACCCTCACAGTGAGTGTCTGGGTCTCTGGCACCCTCCCGGTGAGTGTCTGGGTCTCTGGCACCCTCACAGTGAGTGTCTGGGTCTCTGGCACCCTCCCGGTGAGTGTCTGGGTCTCTGGCACCCTCACAGTGAGTGTCTGGGACCCCTGGCACCCTCCCGGTGAGTGTCTGGGACCCTGGCACCCTCCCGGTGAGTGTCTGGGACCCTGGCACCCTCCCGGTGAGTGTCTGGGTCTCTGGCACCCTCACAGTGAGTGTCTGGGACCCTGGCACCCTCCCGGTGAGTGTCTGGGTCTCTGGCACCCTCCCGGTGAGTGTCTGGGACCCTGGCACCCTCCCGGTGAGTGTCTGGGTCTCTGGCACCCTCCCGGTGAGTGTCTGGGACCCTGGCACCCTCCCGGTGAGTGTCTGGGTCTCTGGCACCCTCCCGGTGAGTGTCTGGGTCTCTGGCACCCTCCCGGTGAGTGTCTGGGTCTCTGGCACCCTCCCGGTGAGTGTCTGGGTCTCTGGCACCCTCACAGTGAGTGCCTCGGACCCTGGCACCCTCACGGTGAGTGTCTGGGTCTCTGGCACCCTCACAGTGAGTGTCTGGGTCTCTGGCACCCTCCCGGTGAGTGTCTGGGTCTCTGGCACCCTCCCGGTGAGTGTCTGGGTCTCTGGCACCCTCACAGTGAGTGCCTCGGACCCTGGCACCCTCACGGTGAGTGCCTCGGACCCTGGCACCCTCACGGTGAGTGCCTCGGTGCCATTCACCAGACGAGGAACCTTCGCCTTCTCTTCCATTTTCCTGTTAGCACCCCCCCCCTCACTATCCTCCTATCCCCCCCCCCCTCCGACAACGACCCCACAAACTACCCCACCACAACAACAACAGCTTAGTCAGTCAGACAGTCGCCTGCTCTCTCTCTTCCACCTAGTTAATTCCCAGTTATTCTGCCATCCCTTCCACTCCCCCTCCCACGCTGCCCCTCCCAGCAACCCCACCTCTCCCATACCTCCCCCTACCCCTCTCTCCATTGTCCTCTGGGCTCCCCCCTTTAGGGGTCACCCATCCAGTGCCTCACCCCGTGGGTAAGTAGGCAGGTATTTACATTAATAATGAACTAAAGGAATATATTCTGATGGGGAACATGTGTTGCGGACACATGTTGGGGACACATGTTGGGGACACTGGTGAAAAAGTCCACCCACATGGAGGATCAGTCCGCCTGTCCCCAGGGGGACCAGTCCGCCCCAAGCGACAGCGAAGGACGCTTGGCTTTACGCGACCCGTAAACAAGGCAGGTTTTCTCCTCTATACAACCCTCCGCCGCCAACATCTCGTCTTCGGAGAATCAGTCGTGTGCAAAATATAAATGTGCTTGTAACTCTTGATTTATATGCGTTTTTGTCAAAGTATAGCGAGGTTGTATGATATTATTGATATACTTGACAACCTTCCATGGTACTGGGGACCACTTGACAACCCTCCATGCTACTGGGGACCACTTGGAAACCTTCCATGCTACTGGGCACCACTTGACAACCTTCCATGCTACTGGGCACCACTTGGAAACCTTCCATGCTACTGGGCACCACTTGGAAACCTTCCATGCTACTGGGGACCACTTGACAACCTTCCATGCTACTGGGGACTACTTGACAACCCTCCATGCTACTGGGGACCACTTGACAACCTTCCATGCTACTGGGGACCACTTGGAAACCCTCCATGCTACTGGGCACCACTTGACAACCTTCCATGCTACTGGGGACCACTTGACAACCTTCCATGCTACTGGGCACCACTTGACAACCTTCCATGCTACTGGGGACCACGTGACAACCTTCCATGCTACTGGGCACCACTTGACAACCTTCCATGCTACTGGGAACCACTTGACAACCTTCCATGCTACTGGGGACCACTTGACAACCTTCCATGCTACTGGGGACCACTTGACAACCTTCCATGCTACTAGGGACCACTTGACAACCTTCCATGCTACTGGGCACCACTTGACAACCTTCCATGCTACTGGGGACCACTTGACAACCTTCCATGCTACTGGGGACCACTTGACAACCTTCCATGCTACTGGGGACCACTTGACAACCTTCCATGCTACTGGGGACCACTTGACAACCCTCCATGCTACTGGGGACTACTTGACAACCTTCCATGCTACTGGGGACCACTTGACAACCTTCCATGCTACTGGGGACCACTTGACAACCTTCCATGCTACTGGGGACCACTTGACAACCTTCCATGCTACTGGGGACCACTTGACAACCTTCCATGCTACTGGGGACCACTTGACAACCTTCCATGCTACTGGGGACCACTTGACAACCTTCCATGCTACTGGGGACTACTTGACAACCTTCCATGCTACTGGGGACCACTTGACAACCTTCCATGCTACTGGGGACCACTTGACAACCTTCCATGCTACTGGGGACCACTTGACAACCTTCCATGCTACTGGGGACCACTTGACAACCTTCCATGCTACTGGGGACCACTTGGAAACCCTCCATGCTACTGGGGACCACTTGGAAACCCTCCATGCTACTGGGGACCACTTGACAACCTTCCATGCTACTGGGGACCACTTGGAAACCCTCCATGCTACTGGGCACCACTTGACAACCCTCCATGCTACTGGGCACCACTTGACAACCTTCCATGCTACTGGGCACCACTTGGAAACCTTCCATGCTACTGGGCACCACTTGGAAACCTTCCATGCTACTGGCACGACATATCTCGCTCCGCCACTCCTTCCCCTTACTTCTCCATTCTCTCTTACCTTTCCCCTTTCTTCCCTCCCATATTACCCATTTCCTCCCTCAACCCCCTCCCTCCCCCCCCATATTCTACCTCCTACCTCCCTCGACGAGTGTGTCGAACATTTCTCCACAACGCCAACTATGTCGTCTAAATTTACCCAGCCATAAAATAAAATATTAAAAGCCTCCATTTTACAATATGATAAAAAAAGCATCACAAACGAGCTTAAAACAAAACCCAAAAAAGTAGGTAAAAAAATGGGGAAAAAGGTTCCCCCGCTGACGCCAATTAGCCAGGCATTTGTGGAGTAAAATAGGTGAAGTGATTGGTGTCTTGTGGGCGGCGTGGGGCGGTGACGGGGTGCTTCGTTATGTATGCACCCGTATGGCGGTGCTGTGGTGCTGTGTACAGGGGCACCCGTATGGCGGTGCTGTGTACAGGGGCACCCGTATGGCGGTGCTGCGGTCCTGTGTCCGGGGAGGGGGGGGTACAGGGGCACCCGTGCCTCCATCAGGCTACACATGGAGGCAGTGAGAGGCAGCAGCACCCCCTCCCCCACACCTTAACATTAAACATTCATGCCTACTTTCCCCCCCCCCCCCTCTCCTGTCCCCTCCCTTCCCCTCCCTCTGGAACACAACGCCCACTCCCAGCTTTATCCCCCGACACCGTTTGTGTGGGATGGTGGTGGTGGTGGTTGTGGTGGTAGTACTGGTGGTTGTGGTGGGGTAGGGTGTAGGGTAAGTGTACTTACCTATGTGTGTCTGTGGTAGGGAGGGTGCAAGGTCTAGCTCTCTCCCTCGCCTGCTTGCCTTCTTGTACCTTCTGCCTTAAAATTTAACTATTCAGAAGTTTGAATTCTTTATGGCGTGTGGCCTTAAAGTTGTGGCTGGAGGTGGCTTCTACACCTTCTTCCTTCAGTACAGACCACTTGTTAACTACCCGTACAGGGTGGGAGTAATTATGTTCCTTCGGCTCATTTGTGTTTCCTGCTTCCACCTTGAGTTTGATTGTTGCTGGTTTTGAATGGGCAGAGTTTCTTTCACCCTATGCTCCTGTTACCTAGCAGTAAAATAGGTACCTGGGTGTTAGTCAGCTGTCACGGGCTGCTTCCTGGGGGTGGAGGCCTGGTCGAGGACCGGGCCGCGGGGACACTAAAAAAAAGCCCCCGAAATCATCTCAAGATAAACTTCTCTCCAGATGATTCGTCGCTACTAGCCTAATTATTTTCCCCGCTCTTTACATGGGATATATATATCCATGACACTGGTCTGTAATCTAGTACTTTGTCTTTGTCCCCTTTTTTGAATATTGGGACTACGTCTTTTGCCTTTTTCTAGAATTCCGGGAAACTTCTTGTCTCGAGTTTATGGAAATTTGTTCGATAATTAGCGGCAAAGTACTTTTGTAGTTTCCATTGAATTTGTTACATCTAGTTCCCCTTTTTATTTTCACAATGACAACGATGTCATCCGTTGTTTTTTCCAGCCTTTCATCTTGTAACCTTAGTGTCCATGTTGGTTCTATTATAAAGACCTCCTGAAATCTTTCGTAGAGTTCCTCGCGTATCTTCTAATCGTTTTCTGTGAGAATTTCCTATTTGTCTCCTGAACCTCACTCTTGTTTCCTCTTTATATGACTGTAGAAGAGCTTTGGTTGGTTCTTAAGAATGTTAGTAATGGTAGGAATGTTATTTTCAAATTGCCTCTCAGCTTCTTGTTTGGCTCTGTTGTATTTATTGATGTTTTTTTGTGGTACTTTATTGTCCTCCGACTTATAGATCTGTTGTGGTAGGGTGGTGGTAGTGGTGGTGGTGGTGGTGTGGTGGTAGTGGTGGTGCAGCAGCCCGTCCTCTAGAGCGTTCCCAACGTCGCTCAAACGATGTGCTAAATTGCCCCAACCTAACCCAACTGCGAATCCACTAAAAGAAAACGGGGCATCACGCCAATTTTGCGAGCCTCTATGATTTTTTCAGTACATCAATTTGCGGCCTTAAGCGGCCGAAACTGATGCGCCAAATGCGACGTACTGCTCGAAAAGATTATTTGGCGGGAAATCACTTTGGGAGAACATGGTGAGATAGATTAACTAATCCACAAGGGCCGTGACGAGGATTCGAAGGATTCGTGTAATGAAGTAAGGGCGAAGAGGTAGAACAACCTATAGACATAGCTCGAGTGCAGGGGGGAGTTGTGTAAAACCCTGGTTTGTGTCTCGGAGAGGCTGCAGGATCCGAGTAAGTTCAGTAGAATTTCTGGTTGTTATTCTTATCCATGTCGTAGCTCAGTCGATTAAGGCAGCGTCTGGGATGCTCTCAGACGTAGGCTCGAATCCTCGTTACGGCCCTTGTGGATTTGTTCATTTGATACATCACGCTATTGTGATTTGTGTGTGTAATGGTGATGCAGAGCTGGTTGGGCTCTCTGACCTAAACACAGGAACAACAGGTCTTGAACACGATACGAGAGTGTCGTGGCACCAGTCTCCGTGGCACCAGTCTCCGTGGCACCAGTCACCGTGGCACCAGTCACCCTAGGAGTGCCAACTGTGCCCTGGAGAGCACAATTATTTGCCCCCAAAATGTTAGCATCCTCCCCCAATTTCGACTTTTTTCCCTCTGAACGGAGAAAATTGAATTTGTTTTTTTTTTCCTCCCTGATTTTTTATATTCCCTGGCTATTCCTGGCCTTGTGGCTCTTTTGTGTTGCTTTGTTGTCTTGTTTATCTGTTTGTCTGCTTTACTTGTCTGCTTATTGCTTTGTCTGCTGGCCTCAGTGTCTGATACTTGGCCTGATGTTCTGTGACTAAAGTTGGTTTTAGGGTAATTGATAATGTCTGCTTGTCTGAATGTCATCGTCTGCTGTGTTGCATGTACAGATGTCGCGTTAATGTCTGCTGCTATCAGTACTTTACTCTCCTCTCTCACCCTGGGGGACCTCTCACTCTCACCCTGGGGGACCTCTCTCACCCTGGGGGACCTGTCACCCTGGGGGACCTCTCTCACCCTGGGGGACCTGTCACCCTGGGGGACCTCTCTCACCCTGGGGGACCTGTCACCCTGGGGGACCTCTCTCACCCTGGGGGACCTGTCACCCTGGGGGACCTCTCTCACCCTGGGGGACCTCTCACTCTGGAGGACCTCTCACTCTCACCCTGGGGGACCTCTCACTCTCACCCTGGGGGACCTCTCTCACCCTGGGGGACCTGTCACCCTGGGGGACCTCTCTCACCCTGGGGGACCTCTCACTCTCATCATGGGGGACCTCTCTCTCTCACCCTGGGGGACCTCTCACCCTGGGAGACCTCTCACTCTCATCATGGGGGACCTCTCTCTCTCACCCTGGGGGACATCTCACTCTCACCCTGGGGGACCTTTCTCACCCTGGGGGACCTGTCACCCTGGGGGACCTCTCTCACCCTGGGGGACCTCTCACTCTCATCATGGGGGACCTCTCTCTCTCTCACCCTGGGGGATCTCTCACTCTCACCCTGGGGGATCTCTCACTCTCACCCTGGGGGACCTGTCACCCTGGGGGACCTGTCACCCTGGGGGACCTCTCACTCTCACCCTGGGGGATCTCTCACTCTCACCCTGGGGGATCTCTCACTCTCACCCTGGAGGATCTCTCACTCTCACCCTGGGGGACCTCTCACTGTCACCCTGGGGGATCTCTCACTCTCACCCTGGGGGATCTCTCACTCTCACCCTGGGGGACCTCTCACTGTCACCCTGGGGGATCTCTCACTCTCACCCTGGGGGATCTCTCACTCTCACCCTGGGGGATCTCTCACTCTCACCCTGGGGGACCTATCACTCTCACCCTGGGGGACCTGTCACCCTGGGGGACCTCTCACTCTCACCCTGGGGGAACTCTCACTCTCACCCTGGGGGACCTCTCACTCTCACCCTGGGGGACCTCTCACTGTCACCCTGGGGGATCTCTCACTCTCACCCTGGGGGATCTCTCACTCTCACCCTGGGGGATCTCTCACTCTCACCCTGGGGGACCTCTCACTCTCACCCTGGGGGACCTGTCACCCTGGGGGACCTCTCACTCTCACCCTGGGGGATCTCTCACTCTCACCCTGGGGGATCTCTCACTCTCACCCTGGGGGACCTCTCACTGTCACCCTGGGGGACCTCTCACTCTCACCCTGGGGGACCTCTCACTCTCACCCTGGGGGACCTCTCACCCTGGGGGACCTCTCACTCTCACCCTGGGGGAACTCTCACTCTCACCCTGGGGGACCTCTCACTCTCACCCTGGGGGACCTCTCACTCACCCTGGGGGACCTCTCACTCTCACCCTGGGGGACCTCTCTCTCTCTCTCACCCTGGGGGATCTCTCACTCACCCTGGGGGACCTCTCACTCTCACCCTGGGGGACCTCTCACCCTGGGGGACCTCTCACCCTGGGGGACCTCTCACTATCACCCTGGGAGACCTCTCTCTCTCTCACCCTGGGGGATCTCTCACTCACCCTGGGGGACCTCTCACTCTCACCCTGGGGGACCTCTCACTCTCACCCTGGGAGACCTCTCTCTCTCTCACCCTGGGGGACCTCTCACTCTCACCCTGGGAGACCTCTCTCTCTCACCCTGGGGGACCTCTCACTCTCACCCTGGGAGACCTCTCTCTCACCCTGGGGGACCTCTCACTCTCACCCTGGGGGACCTCTCACTCTCACCCTGGGGGACCTCTCACCCTGGGGGACCTCTCACTCTCACCCTGGGGGACCTCTCACTCTCACCCTGGGGACCTCTCACTCTCACCCTGGGGGACCTCTCACTCTCACCCTGGGGGACCTCTCACTCTCACCCTGGGGGACCTCTCACTCTCACCCTGGGGGACCTCTCACTCTCACCCTGGGGGACCTCTCACTCTCACCCTGGGGGACCTCTCACTCTCACCCTGGGGGACCTCTCACTCTCACCCTGGGGGACCTCTCACTCTCACCCTGGGG